TCGCTCCCGCCGCCCCGCTCACCACGTGCCGCCGCCGCCGCCGCCCGCTCCGTCGCGCGCCTTCGCCATCATCGCCGCGCGCCGCGTCCGGGAGTGACGCGCGGGCTCGGGCACCGCCAGCATGGAGGAGGCGGGGGCCGCCCCCGCCCCGGAGCTCGCCGAGCTGCGGGCGGACGGTGAGGCGCGGCCGGGGGCTCGGGGGCAGCGTCGGGCACAGCCTCCGCCGGCACGGCCCCTCGGCGGCCCGTCCGCGGCGGCCCCAGGGTCCCCTGCGAGGCGGYGTTGGGCCGGGCGGGCGGAGCCCGGGCAGAGCGGGCGGGGAAGCGCCGCGCTGGCGAGTCWCGGGAAGTTTGGGCGGCGGAGCGAGCCCCGGTGACGGGAGGGACCGCGGCTGAGGGGCTGCGGGATGGAGTGTGCGCTCGGGCTCGCTTGCTTCCAAAGGGAAAAAAATTGTTCTGGAAGGAGAGGTGAAGGTGCTCGTTGAATTAGGAGAAGCTGTTTGGGAAACCTGGTCTTGCTTGATCCAAAGTCATCATTGCAGTATCAGTCTTAGTTTTTTATAAAATCTTCACACCTTTGTTGAAGTCTGGTATGATTTCATCAAGTTGTGCCTCATGCCACTTTCAAGTGATCTGCAGCTGTCTGGTGTGTTTGGTTATGGGTACAGGCTCAACAGCTTCACCCTGGTTATGCTGCAAAGTTTGAAAAAATAAGGTATTGATACTTTTTCGTGTATTCTGCTCAGGGAAAGGTTGCGGGGAATAAAGAAACATGAGTATCACCGTCTGCCAAAAAAAAAGCCCAAAAAGAAACACGAACCCCTGTTTCCAATTCTAAACTTGTTTCTCACCACTGTAGTCTCTTCTCACATTTATACTATGTGATCTAGAGAATCACTCAGAAGAAATTAAAGATATGAGAAGTGTACACTATAGGTCTATAAATATTGTTTAATTCTTCTGAAGCATGAATATRAAATCTAAATCCTTTTTCAGAATGTTATGCTGACTTCTTCAGAGAAGACTTTGATGTGAAAGCTTACACTTCCCAGTCCATCCATCAGGCTGTGATAGCTGAGCAACTGGCAAAACTTGCTCAAGGTATTAGCCAGTTGGATAAAGAGCTGCATTTACAAGTAAGTTTAAAACATACCTGTTATTCTGGGGTGGTTGATAGAAAATTAATAATCTTAGGATGTTGTAAATTGTGAGATTGCCCATTCTTTTCTGCAAGCTGTTGCTAAAGGGACAACCTGCAGCTAAACTTGTAGTCAGTCTGACAGCTCAGTGAAGCCCACACTTAATACACCTACCAGGAGCCCATACATTGTTTCAGTTTCTGTATTCTATCATTCCTTGTAAGAAGGAAGACTCGTTCCAAATTATCCAATTTCCAAATGTAACTATCATGAAACACTTGAGTCCATGTTTTAAGATGACATTGCGAGAAGATAGGGAAAACATTCACCCTTACATACTGTGCTGAAGAGTAGTGTAAACCCTAAGACTTACCTTTAGCTAGACAAATATAATCTATATTAAGAAAGGCTTTTGAGTTTAAATGATAGAAGACTTTCTCTATGCAGAAACCATAAATCCACAGTGGACCTTGCAATGAGAACACATGCTAAGTTTGTATGTAATCTCAAAACCTGCTTCCTCCCTCCCCTTGCCCCTGTTGGTAAGTTCTTCGGGAATTAGTTTATAAATGTCATAAATAGAAAAAAAAAAAGCACTACTATACATTATTATGGTGTGATTAGTAAGTTCACACTTACAATTATTAAGTATGAAGGTGTGTTGAAATGTGATTGCTCTGCTGGCTTTAATTAAGATGTCAGCTCTGCTGCAGTTACTGACTCTCTTCTCATTCGGAGCTTGCTGCTTTTCTGATTTAAAACACCTTGTGTTCTGAAAACCCTTTCTCCTGTAAGATGTACCTGCTGATTTCTATATTGTTTTTTTAAAGGTTGTGGCAAGACATGAAGATCTGTTGGCCCAAGCAACTGGAATTGAATCCCTGGAAGGTAAATACTGTTAGATTATGCTTGCTGTTCTTAGAATGGAAGATGCATTTTTAGAATCTTTGCAGAGAATATAATTCACTGCCAGCTTGGGCCCCTAATGTTAAGGCTCCGCATCTGATTTCTGAGGAGTAACATGTGGCAGCTTTTCTTTTTTTATGTCAGTAGATGGAGCTCCAGGGAGAAGATTTGGCTAATGCTTCTCTGGAGTAGCTGCTTCATAGGAAAATGTATTTTGATAATCAGTTCTGAGCAACATTAGCAATAAAGCCTTTTTTGACTTCTTAATATATTTTTCTAAATAAGMCTAATTTTGTTGCAACATTAGCATATGTCTGTTGCTGTGGGCACCAACTTGATGTTGCACATACATTTCTTGTGTAGTTTGCACATCTTAACCAAAGGGGCTGTAACACATAGTCTAAACTGTGTTGAGATATTTTTTCCTAGTAAAGGGCTACTAAGTTAAATACGTACCTTAGTTTTATTCCACTGTTTGAGATGTGGATTTTGACATAAACTGCTGATTTTCAAAGGCTTTACTTAGGAGCCATTGAATCTGTATAGCAAATGGTTGCAGTATATTGTTCTCGTGCCAGAAGCTCATTAAACCTGCTATTCTGCTCTTTGTCACTTTGCTGAGAGCGTCATATGGTTTGGTGGATGTTTTTATGTGTAGACAGATACTTACCTCTATAACATGCTAGAATGTCTGGAGCACGTCCCCTTTTCCCCTTTGTAACTTACTAAGTAATTTAACTTGGTTCTTTTTTCTGCTTTCAGGTTTTGGCATAACCAGAGTTTTTTTTTGTTACTGATAATTACAGTATATCCTTAGTCTTTGAAATTGCATGGATATAGTATTTTGTGTCAGTATTTGCAGATAGCTGTAAAATTAAAGAAATGGCTATTTAATCTAGCAATGGTAGCTCCTGAATAACTTTTTGAACACTTGGGGAATCAAGCATAGGAGACTGAAATACGTGTTCATTCTCTAAATAAGAAATAGACAGGAATGTATAGTCAGTTGTGACTGATAAATACCTCCCAGTCACAATTTTCAGCAATTTGTGCTCAGTGGAATTCCCTTTTCTGAAATTATAGTTGTTTCTGAAGGCATTCCTTTCTGAAAYTGCTCTGAGGAAAGAATGAAGTATTTCAAAACAACTACTCAGTTAGGAAATGTTTCTGTGTGTGGCAGGTGTGATAAATAATGCATGTTTTACAACAAATACTGCAAAGTAAAAATAAAATTCAATTCACCTCAAATTTGTTGAAATTTTTCCATTTACTTAGGGTGATGCTCTTAAAGGAAACACTGAGTTGAGATTCATAAGAAAAAGGAAAGATAAATGCCAACAGATTTTTTAATTGTGAATTTAGAAATGCATAGCTCTTGGAATATGTATCAAGAAAGTTAGCAAGTGAAGATTATGGAGCTAATTCACAGCATGCATAGTCATTTGGATGTGTGAAAGTGAATCTCATTAAACATTTCAAAATGGTACACCCAGCTTGTGGAGTCCTTTCTTTTTTAGGCCTGTGCACTTTTTTTAATGGTACACAGCTCTAGTCGACATATTCTTTTCTGTCTGTAGGTAATTCAGTACACATCTTGAGCTACCTGTTATTTTAAGATAGGCTAAATTGTACCATCCTGTATCTACCACAGTAGGKGAAGAGGGTAGAGTGCCTTTTCACCCATCCTTATTCCGATCTCTGGGAAAAGGGCTGTTGTGTGCTTAATTGCARTATCACAGCTTTAAATGCAGCAGTGTTGTGGCACTGGCCCTCCCCCGTTATTGCAATGYAGAGTAGACAATGCAGCCTATTTTRCCAGCTTTTCACTGTATCTCATATCTTCATCCTCATGGTCTGTGAGAATTGCATGCCTGACATACCATGTTTAAATAACAGAGAACCCATGAGCCTTTCACTAGGCTAAGCTAATAATTCTGAAATATGGAAAAGATTACATATTTATACAAAATGARTGAGATACAGTCACAGTACAAGATAACCTGAATATAATTATTAGCAATAGTTTTGTTTATCTTCCATCTTACCGTATCATGCGGCAGTTTTATCTAATTTAATGATGGCATGCTTGTAAACAGGGCTTTACAAAAAGTATGTTTTAGAATGCTAACAGTAACTGGAACAAAAATAATTTCATAGGTCTGGGTTTGTCTAACTTAATTAAATTCTCAGCAGGCTGATTCTGTATTGCAAAAATGATTCCTATCCCCTACTACTTTATTTGCAATTTACCAAGAAAAGAACAAGCATGCTTGTTGGCTTTCCTTGTGCTGCTTTGCCAAACTAATGTGGAACAAACATGATTAGGGTAGTTTGCTCTGTAATTTAAATCAGATGACCTTACAATGACATTGATACCTTACTTTTTGCTAAAGATGCTTATGCACAGGAAGAAAGCCTTGAAATAGAATTGTGTATCCTCTCAGTCCTCTTTGTCCATTGGTTTCTCTGAGCAGTCTAGTCACGCTTTAAAATAAATAGTGTTAAATAGGTTGTGCCTTTTTTGTATGTCATGTTCAGGTGTTTATACCAGGTTATATAATTTGAACTGCAGTCCTGATCATCATTCTCATAGAAAGTAGCATCCTCTAAATATTGTTTGAAACTTCACAAATGATGGTTTATGTTCTCTACCAATACATTTTCCATAACATTCAGTAAGTGACCTATTGCCTGCTCAGTTTATTTCCCAGAATGCTTTATTTTATTAATTTTGGTCTCTCTGAATTCTTTGTTATAAAGGGAGAAACTGGTTTTGGTTTATGCTAAAGTAGTCTGCAGTAGTTAATATGATTTGAAGAAAATCTCTTTCTGTAATTGATGACTGTTCCATGCAAAAAATCTGTTTTATTTTGCAGGTGTCCTCCAAATGATGCAAACTAGAATTGGTGCTCTACAAAGCACTGTTGATAGGTATGCCATTCATTATGTGATTAGAAAGTATAAATTCTTATGTTCTACAATACTATATTAACACTGCCATAAATACATTTCTCTTCTTATTTTTAGAATTAGAGTTAAAATTGTTGACCCCTACAACAAAATAGTGTCTCGCACAGCTCAGCTGGCAAAACTTCAAGTAAGTTGCATGAAAAACATATTTTCAAAAATCCTTTTTGTACATGTGTTATTTCACAATTGTCAGACATGGGTACATGTCTGGTTTCTACCCCAGTAGTCTGTGGTTTGTTGGTTTGTTGTCAGTATTTTTCTGAAAATCTGTATTTGTGTCTATTCAACAGCTGCTGAGAAGTGCCTTGTATTGCGAAGTAGAAAATTGACCTTTGCACTAGCTAATTAAGCTATGTAGAGATGGAGGGAAGAGGGAAGGTTATCTGAGTAGAGATTAATTAAATTTTCATAATTGTTTGTACTATTTTGGTATTTAATGTTATAGTGATGTTGTGTAGAAGACACTTTTTGCCCCCCTAACTTAATGCATGCCTTGCTGCAATTTAGTAAAGAGTTTGGCAATTAATTCTTTCAAAATAGTTGGGATGCAACTTAAGGAGTCATTTGTGGTTCTGGAGATTTGTAAGCCCAGGTGCATACTTGTCCCTGCCTTTTAATATAAGTAGAGTTTACAGAAGAATGTGGATCTCTGTTAAAGGGTAGCAGTGGGAGAGACCTTAGCACAATGATGGTGAGATAAGTGTCAAACACTTCCACAGATRTTTTTAAAATGGTTGAAAACTATTCTGTAGATCTTTGGGATCGTGTACCTACATTCTACTAAGTTTATGATTTGAAACACAACACAGCTCCAACCCCAGAAGTGTTTAATGAGTTATTGTTTGAACTATTTGTCTTTGCATGTTTGCCTGAATTTTGAGCTGTGAATATCCACTCAAGTAGATTTTAGTCTGCAAGTGACTGCTGTTGTAGAATAGCAGACTCATTCAGTTTCTAGTCTGGGGAGTGGTGGAGCAGSTGCACTGTCTCTTGGCTGAACTTCTGTTTTCTGTATTACTTTCAGTAGCAGTGAAGTTCAGCAGGGAACACTTAACACTCTGTTTAGCCAGTTTGGCCCATGTGCTTCTCCTCTTGTTTTCAGCTCCAGCCATTACTGTATTTGCCACTGGCCAGAAGTCCCATGACTTCCATGTAGCAGATTAGGTTCCAATTTTTTTGTTGTTCTCTGATGCGTGTTGCACAYGTAGGTTGTGAGAATGTGGGGCTAAAGGTGAAGATCATTTCTGCCCTGCTCTTACATGAAGTCAATCTGCAGAAGGATGTCTGAGAAGAATGAGTCCCTGAACTTAGGAAATGTTTCTTGGGCTCTCTCTGCTTCCTCTTGGCTGTAGCAGGGTTACATCGGTTTTCCTCTGATGTGAGAGCTGCATCCATCCTGCATAAGCTTTACTCAGGCTGTGCCAGGGGATTTGTAATATCTGACTTTTCTTGCTGTAAGTCAAGAAAAAAGAGGTGCAGAGAAAGAGGCAGCCTGCTAGGCTGCTCTTCCTAGCATTAGTGTAGAAAGAGGAATGATTCCAGATTGTCTGCCAGTGAGAGTCTATCTTCAGCACAAGAGCTGCTGTCCCTGTGTGTTGGCAGACACATTGTGGGTGCTTTAGTTTGCCCTACATTGCTGGGAGGAGTTGGGGGGTCAGGGCACCTGAATTAAGAAATGAAGCTGAACTTAGGGACAGTTAAGTCAATAGTAAAGCTCAACTCTCCAATTTGAGCTTCTCTCAATCTCTCTCCAGATTGAGATTCACTCAATCTCCTCCCCAAGATGCACTGTGGTGTCCTTTACCTGGGTGACTCCTTTGTTGAGGAAGGAAGGGCACAGCACAGCAAACGATTCACTTCCTGGCAATGATAGGACTTAGAATATAAAATTGCTTCCAAATGCAAGACTTATGGCTTGGGACATTGTCAAACTTACTAATTTTATCAGCTGTTCTACAATTGGTAAAAAAGATACCTGGTAAAGAAGTTGCCTTCTGTCAAATCTGTAGGGTTGGCAGGTATGTTTCACTGAAATGCATGATGTTTCAGTGCCTCTTGTACTTGTGATGGTGTTATTTTAGTACCTCTCCATTGATTGCTGTGGGACTGCTCACAACTGAAGGAATATTTGACTTGCACAAAGCTAGATTTTGCCATCCTTAATTGTTTTTAATATAGTCTGGCTTTTTCATAAGCATTCTCATTGCAAGTTCATTTTTAAACTTGGAATCTAGTCCTGAATTTTAAATTTCTGCTGTGTGCCTGTTTATATTACGTCTTACTCTGCTCTTAGAGCTTCATGGCATCCCAAGGTAGCAGCAGACTCACTTCCTGCTGTAAATACTGTCCTCTTCTGACTCTTTCCATAGTTGATCACAAGCTAAGTGGGAGTAGTTAACAACTGAAATTTGTATACAGGGAGTTTGTCCTTCAGGGGGTTCTTTCCTGTGCAGCTCCAAGTGTTTWTACATGGTCTCTTAGTTTCAGATATCTTGGTGCATGAAAAACTTTATAATACACAAACATTTAAAACACTTAAAAAAAATAAAATCTGTATTTTAAAGTTATTCTTATGTTAAAATATTTACCAGTGGCAGTTTTCATCGTGATGCTACTGTAAGTAAATAGTAAATTTAGTCTGAAGATAGTGGACTGTCTTCTCTTTCTTCAGGCTTCATAAAAAACAAAACGTATACGTTCAGTCACCTTGCATATATGAGCTACACACTGGCACATTTTCAAGTGACTCTCTCTTTGTAATTAATCTTTCAATAATTTCTTAAAATTAATTTGAAATTAAAAATAAGAGGCTTTTCAATGGCTCAAATTGTAGCAATAATTTCTGCTATTGTTGACATTTGTTTTAAATTTCAGGAGATAGTTAACCTAAATGTAATATGATCTCAAAAAAAAAAAATCAGGGTTTACCTTTAGTTTTACTTAAARTGACCTGGACTACCTGGGGCCACTGGCCTTTTCCAAATTAATTCTTGCTTGAGCTATAGAATTTGTCCCTCCTTGGATGAAAGCATCTCCTTTAGAAAAGCATACTTGATCAACTTGGGAAGGGAATGTTTCTTGAATTAATTCAGACCTCTGTAATGCGGGTAGTCAGGTTAGAGGRTCTGGCTTCTGTGAAGAGCTCCACCATTCGATACAGGTCTTTATTTCTGTTACATGTCCTTATATATAGCATACTTTTACAGTGAATGGGAGTTCTGTTAAGTTGAACAGCTCACATAAGTGAAAATACTTGGGTGAAACAATCTTTCTCAAGGGTACAATGCAATAGAAATGATGACAAAATTTAGAGTGCATCTACAGTGTCTTTAGATTTTTTTCCTCCTACTAATTCACAGGGCCGGAAATTAAAACTTTTTTTTTTTATTTGCTCTTGTATCTAAATGTAGTTTTTSCCATCTCTTACTTTCTTTTAAAAGATTGTTTCTTGGGACATGAAATAATGAGCAACAATTCAACGAAAAAGAAATAATCTTTTGCCATGTAAAGTAAAAGGTGGTTGGAAAATAACAGAAGTTGAATTCCTGGGCAAAACATTAGCCAGAGGTACACAATTGGATTAGAGAGTGATTGATTTTGAAAGAGAAGTAGTAATACCAGGCCCTCTTATTTGGTAAAGCATAGTGCACTATATAAAAAGCTATTTTTGATTAATCTTGCTGAAATTTAGTTCACAGATATGAAAGTGATATGTGGATCCAGATTTTTCTAATTAAGGWAATGAATTAATAAAAATTAATACATTAATCTCTCAAAGCAGGATAAGCTCCACTTAATTCTCACTAAGGATAATAGGAATCATATGGTTAAATTGTCACAGAATGCTTWGAAAATGTGCACTTCAGACTGTGATAGAGAGCCCAAAGCAGCAAGAGTAATTTGGCTTCCCCTGATTTGCCACAGTGGGTTTTTTTTCTAATTTTTCCTTTTTCTTCTGTCTGGGTGTTCAGTAAAATTAGACTATAAATTTTTGTGGATTTGTTCATTTGTGCTGGCATAGGGAAGAGACCACCAAATTGTACTTTCTGCTGTGGATATTGGTTGAAATTATTCATGTGTTTATGTTTTCATATCTGCACTTTAACATTAGCTTTCAATAAATTAACTTAAGTCTGAAAAGGGGCTTCTAGGTCTTTTGGATACTAGGTTTTTTAAAAGTAATTTAGAATTAATTTTGATATCCATAAGGTTAATAATTCAGGAGACTTTGCCTTCTGTACCAGAGAAAATAGGTCCAAACAGCTATGTTGTACTTGTTCCAAACTTGCCACTTTTGTTAGATGTTGGACTGTAMCTGTGACTGTACTGAAGTCGGAGTTGCTTTTCTGAATTCTAGTTTAGTTGTTCCCCATTCCAAAATGTTGCTGTTCCTGCAGCATGTACCTCCTAACCAGTCCAGCCCTAGAGGAACYGTACCCTTAATGCAACTCTTACTGTTGCTCTGTCTCTATTATTTAATGCATAGGAGAAAACCTATTTCAACATCTTAGTTGAGTGAAAAATTATGGAACTATCATGTTTGATTCAGATGGCAGTAATGTCTGTTTTTCTAATTTGGTATTAACAAAAACAAACATGAATGTTTCCTAAAAATTTATGTATACATCCATATTCTTAATTTTTAACCAAGAATGCCATGTGTTTTAATAAGCATATGAAAGACTGTGAACTAGCAGTTGGTTGAATGAAGGTGACTGGCATTCTGGAAGTTTTGCTGAGAATTAGTTTTACAAATATGCTTACCATAAGAGTCAATACCTATRATAGCAATTTAGTCTATAAGTTTTATAGTCTTCTGAAGTAAGTGCTGCCACTTGGCTTATTTTGGATCAATAAGCAAAGCCAACTTCTTAACTTTCCTAAAGCTTAAAGAGGGGGGGAATACTGAGGAGAGTTGCACAAGGTAAAATAAAACTCACTTCTAATTCGAAACAGAACATGCCTTTGTCACAGGGTTTTGAGTTTCCTTTGTTTTTGCATGGATAATGACAGCATAMTCTCAGTAGCCTCATAAATGTAATTACCAGCTTTTCAAAGAGTTRGTCTGTATAACACAAAATCATGTTAAAAATTATTAAAAAGGGGATTTCAGTGTTCTAAAGTTCCTTGTTTTTATTCACATTCACATTTCCTTTTTTGGTGAAGATATTTCCACACTTGAGGACTAGTATTATGTGATTGTAATGCACTGATAATATCCCCTAATGCCACAATTTCCCTGCAGGCTGCCTGTGACTTGCTGCGGAGGATAATACGCATCTTGTATCTCAGTAAGAGACTTCAAGGACAACTGCAAGGAGGAAGCAGAGAGATAACAAAAGCTGCCCAGAGTCTCAATGAACTTGGTGAGTCCTTCTTAAGTACTTTTGGATGCATTTTTAGCTTGCACTCATGTGACTCACACCAGTACTTTGCTTAAAAACCAAAAAGATACCCAAAACCTTTTACTGTGGTTCTTGCTTTCTATTTCCTGATATAAATTGAGAAATGGCATGGACAGAACTTACTAGTCCTTTGTATTTTTTTGTATGACTTCTCTAGATACAGGGCTTTAATAATGTAAAAATTCTGTGATAGTAACTTGTGTTCTTTTGGGCAACAGTGTTTTTTTGTGAAACAATTTCTTACTGGTTTGTGTTTGTATCAAACACCTTCAGAGGCTGCAGATATATCTTTAGCTTTTGGGAGATGTTGCACTATGATAAGGCAGAGTTTAAACTACTAGTTATGTTCTAAAAGAAAGATATTGAACCTGTGACTTCCATGAAAGCCATAGGTGATATGATATACAGATACCTAACCTAGTTCAGATACTGGAAGTGTTCTGCTGCAGTAGTGACTAATTTACCCCTTATTTTATTGGCTTCTAGGAAGAATAGTGAGGTAGGTCTCATAAAGCTCATAGTTTTGGGATATGGCTGGGGAAGCACTGTGCTGTGCTTCTGGACCTGGAAAGCRTTGGGATGGGTGGGAAATCTTTAGCAGAGGGGTGGTGGTGGTGATGTGTGGCAGGAGAGCACTCGGGCTGTGGTGTGGGGTTAGAATATGGAAATGCTGTGCTTCAGAAAGATGGGAAATGTGATGTAGTGTTCTGTGGTGTCAGGAGGGTGGGAAGCATGGGGAACAGGCACAGGGTGCTGGCAATCCAGTGGTGAGATATGAAAGCTTTGAGAGGCCTGGGGAACTGCTGCAACATCTGATGTAGTAAATAGGTGGTAGACTTGAGTGGTGTGAAAGCCTGGTGTCGGATCAGGACCTCTGTGTCACAGAGGCTTGATTTTGAGTTGGGGTTTATGCCCAAGATGAATGCTGATTTGTGGTTTAGCCAGATATTTTTGAATATCCCTTTCATCTCTCATTCAAGGAAAAAATCTTCCGTTTGTTTATTGCCTTTCTGTTGTACATGTGGTGCTGAATAATTTCTGCTTTGTTGGAAATCAGCAGCAGTGTGATATTACTGTGAAAGCTTTGCTCTTTCTGTGCTATAAGATAGCTTCCATTGTTTGTAAGGGTAGAATCTGGAGGTAACTGGCAAGGTTTTTTTATGTACTTCTACATTCTGTATGTTTGGGGGACACAAATATGCATATTCATATATATTCTGCAGCAGATCTATCTTAGTTTACTTACAGCTTTGACTTTGTTGTGTCTTGAAGTTTATTTTGCAGTGATTGGAAAGGCTCTGGTAAATATATAAAATATTTGAATTAGGCAGAAATATGGGTCAATCAGAGGAACTACAAGAAACAGTAGTTTTACTGAGAAGCAGGATTTTTCTGGATGCTTAAAGTAGTCTGCAGATCTCCAGCTTCAGTGTATGATGTTAGGAAGTTTCTCTGAAAGCATTTTGTAATTTTTTGATGAGATCTGTACTTAAAGCTAAACTAGATCTAAAATTCCTGTGTGTTGGAGGCTCACATTCTTTGAAATTAACTTCACACTTTGGCACAGTAAAAAGAAAAGCTTAATTTCCTATGTAATTTTAAAGATTAAAAGTTATTTGTGTGCGTATATATATATATAAAATTAAAAACCAGATTTCTGCAACTCTTCTACCTTCCAACTTATTTCGGCTTCTCTAGCAAAGCAGAATAAACTGCTAGCTGTTTCTCTAATGCTGATTCTTTGTGTTATACAATCCAGTTCAGCCCTTGCATAGGTGGAACAAGTGACAATATTCAGTTGTCACACAGTGCCTAATGCAGTGAATTATATGCCCTGACTATGCTTCTTGGTGGTATTTAGATACAAATATTTTATGAAGTGGAAAAGAAACATTCCTAAGCAAGATTAAACAATAGAATGTGACAAGAAAATTGTATACTATATGTAGCTCCCTTTCGTAGAAGAAATTCTGCAGGCATTAAAGTATCTGCTGCCTTCCATACGGATATGCAGAAATTGCTGTCTTACAGCAGCCAGTAACTTACCAGATGAAGATACAAAAATTCTGAGTTGTGCAGCAAAAGGTCAGTTTAAACAAAGGAACTCTAGAACAAATAAACAATTTGTTGGAGTCTGTATAAAAGTGCTGTTAARTAGTAGGACACACAGATTTATCAAGAATGAATCCTGTTTAACCAACCGTATTTTCTTTGTTGGCAGCATAACAGGCCTTGGGACTAGAGAGATCAATGACTGTCTTGTAGTTTGATTTAAATAGGGCTCTTGACACCATTGATTTAAATAGGGCTCTTGACACCGTGTCACAGTAGCACGATCAGCAATAGAATCCAGATGAAAATGTCACACAGTGAATGAAGAAGTTTAGAGAAAGCTGTATCCCAAAAGCCTTCATCTGTTGTTCACTTACCCGACAATGTATCAAGCAGGGTGTTGTTAAAACATGTTCTGCAGCTTGCTTGTGTTTTCATTAATGATTTGAGTGATGTAATATGGCATGTATCCTTATTAAATTTACAACCAATAATCAAGCAGAGAAGAATGGAAAGTAAGTTGGGAAACAGGATTAGAATGAAGTATATTCTTAGTGAATTGGAGATATGTCTTAGGTGAACTGATTTTATTTCTCTTTCAGACAAGTGCTAAGTCCTCACTATAAATAGTTGTAGCTAACAGCAGGAAGAGGAGAAATGACTGTATGGATAACAGTTCTGCAAAGAGGGTTGATAGTTCCTCACAAATTGAGTGTAAGCCACTTTCATTTATTTTGTAGCCAGTGTGCCATTGTTGGCAATGAAGTTTGTACTGGTCTTTATAAAGAAGGGTGTTGTGTGCAGGGCACTTGAAACAAATCTTTTATTCGTGCTTCARGTAGAGCCTCAGGTCCCTTTTTGGGGCTCCATCACTGAAGGAAGATGTAGGTTAACTGGAGAAAGTCCTAATTACAGCAGCAATGATGGCTGAAGGTCTTGAGGATGTCCAGTGGAGGAGCTGAAAGTATGTGGCTGTGGTTTGGAGAAGAGGGGTCTGAGATGGAGAGTAATGTTCTTTGGATAAACAAGAGTGKTTTTCAGACAGAAAGGTGGTATTCAGTTACAAATCTAAATCTCCATATCTACTGTGATTGAAACACTAAGTAGTGGTCCTGAAATGAAGCAAAGAATTTTTTTTCTAAAATGTTAGGAAAGAGTTCTGCCAGCAATGACAGTTTCAGGGGATCTGTGGAGCCAGTATTTGAAGCCTTTTGAAAAATGTTTTAGACAAAGCATGTACCAGTGGGTTGGAAAGACCCTTTGAAGCTGATCTAGTTCAACTCTCATACAATAAGCAGGGACAATTAGATAGGGATGGTTTTGCCTTAAGTAGGAAGTCTTAGTAAGCTGATCTGCTACCAATCCTTGGTTTTTCTTGGAGGTGTTCCCCTCCTCTCCTGACTCTGTTACAGCAGATGTAGTATAGGAAAATTTTTAGGGCAGAGTGTGTTTGGGTTTTTTGGTGTGGTTTTGTTGGGATTTTTTGGGTAGGTTTATTTTGGGGGGAGGTGTTGTTTGTTTGGTTTGTTTTTTTGTTTTGTTTTGTTTTGTTTTGGTTTGGTTTTTTGGTGTTTTTTTTTTGAATACTTAATGTAAAATGTGTTTCCCAAGTTGGTTTGTTGGGCATTGTGCCCAGATACCTCCTGGAATATTATTCGGACAGTGTGACTGGAAAATTCATGGCCATCACTTCAATTCAGCCTCTTTTTATCATTCCTGCAGATGAAGTAGTAGATAAATCTCAAAGACCTTCAGCTCAACTCTCTGACACAATTCTCTTCTGGTTGTGACTGACATTCACATAAACTTCACATAGTTCTTAGTGCTACTTGAGTGCTGCARAAATTGACCCCCAAAAGCTATTATGTCAGTCTGGTCTAGGAGAATGCAGTGAGCAGGAAAAGGAAAGTAATACTGAGTATGTGAATGTAAATGTCCTGTATCTATTTTTTTTGCCTTTGCTGTGAAAGAAGCTAAGCTGCCCAACTGTTTTAAAGAAAGATGTTACTGTATTCCTGCAAGTTTTTTAGTATTTGGGATTAGTGATGAATATTGTTTTGCATTCATCAAGATACTTGTGTTCATCAAAATGCTAAGCACTACGAGTTAGTATCCAGGAAACAACTATTTCAGTAATAAGTATTTACCGTAGTTTATTTTATATATCAGTTAACCATCTCTATTGCAAGGTGGAATTACCCTTACCTATGGTTTCCACACTGTACCTTATTAATTGAGTATTAAAATAGCATAAGTAAATGTAACTAATACAAAGTGACTTGTTCTGAGGTGCTTACAGATTGGCTGACTGTAATATTTGTTCTTCCAGTTAAATACTGTTTTCTAAAAGCTGTTTCATTTTAGCTGCTACATTTTTGAGGTAACATTCAATATGTGTTATGTATGTGTACGAAAGTATCACTAAACCTGCAATGATRAACTGTTGGAACACCTGCCATAGATACTGTGGCAGCTCTTTCACTGCTGCCTTCTTCCCATAATCGGTTCAATGATGAACTTAATTTTTTTTTCTATTCTAAGCAATAATTTGCAGCATATGACTGCCAAGCCAGATCTTGTGTTGACTGCTGTTCAAGTGAGGAAGGACTTGGTTGCTATCATGTCAGTGAAGTCTTTCAGTGCTAGCACACAGAGCAGACAGATTTGGTGATTTTAATACTGCCATGCAGTTTCTCTTAAGAATCAACACACATCAGACTGGAGGGAAAAGTTGCTTTCATGGTGCTTTTGCTTAGGGACTTAGATGCCTTACAATTTGTGCCTTGTGCAGTACCTAGAGTCCTCCAAAATAACATGGCATATGTCTGTGTAGCACAATGCATTGTTCTGTAGGGGTAAGTGAACTGATTTGATTAACAGAAATTACATGGCTTTGATTGCATGACTCT